ATAAGTTATTATATAGTATAGTATGCTATATGAGATCTTTGCTAGGAAAATCACCCTCCGACGTTTTCCGATCGGGCTAATTCGGAACATTTTAAACCATCTTATTTACATGTAAATCATTTTTTGCTCTTATTGATTCAATAGCTTATCGGATGAACATTGGAATCAATAATGACAAAATTGATTTACATGCAAATAAGTACAGAAGTATCGGTATATTGGTTTGAATTTGTCCGAATCAGCCTGATCGGAAAATGTCGAAGGGTGATTTTCCTAGCAAAGATCCCATATAGTTTTATATACTCAAATGCGATTTTGTAGTATACACCACTAATTTACTTAATCATGCACCACAAATCTCACCCTAGGTAGAAAATAATTCATTATACTCAAAACATTTTACTTTTCTAAAATAATTCAAAAACCAAAGGCCATACAAAAGCATTAGATTGATAGCAAGTCAAATCTGATAATCGACTTTATACATTCTATGGTACACGGTGTATAATGCACCTTTTCTTTTACAAAAATTGTTTTTAATCAATAAAATTGACTAATACCGTATTTAATTTTAAAGAATAATACAGTCAATTCTCTTTAAACAAAACCGAACACTTGATAAATTCTGTCTAAATTGAATTTCAAAATTTTAAATTTTTATTATAAAGTTAAACATTAAATACATTTTTTGGACCAAACTTTTTTTTTATTTGCTTAATAAGCCTTGAGTTTGGTTTTTACAAAAAATAATTGACAGTAAATACAGTAGTTTTAATAAAATTTTTATTAAGTAGAATTGTTTATATCAAAAAATATATTTTATATAATATAAATTTATAAGCAAAAATCTTAATATAAAAAAAATTCTAAAAAATAATATTACAGTGTAATAAATAAAATATATAGACCTATATACAATAAACATGTATGTATTTCAGTTTACATGTATGTTAAAGTTTTTTTGTTTTTAATAAATTATGTAAGTTAACTACTTTATTCAAATTTATTTATTACACCAAAACATTTACAATAAAATAAATAACTATCATCGCTTATTATAATCCGTTCTATTTGGAGGACTAGTCATTGAAGCAAACATACTTCTTGCAGATGATGTACTAGTATTACTATCTGAGGATGTCAAAATATCTGGAATTCCATTATTATTAGTATTATCAGATGTTTTTAACGTTTGTAATCTTATCATGTATTTCGTCCAATTAGTCCACTCATTTAAATCATTTGTAGAAGGAAATGGTAAGAAAGAATTATTTTCACTAACCGAATCATCATTATCGCCAAATAAAAGTGGCGACACATCCGAAGCGAAAGAATCAGAATTTTGAGAAAACAATCCATTATTTACGTTCACGGAAAAATCATTCAATCGCATAAATCTTGAGTTAGAAGTGGATTCTGGCGAAGAAATTCGATCATAACTCGTTAAAGACGACAAAGGCGAATTATCGCAATTTCTGACACCATCAACAGTCGAAGTAGGTTGATTAACGATATGCTGGTTTTTCATTGCAGTTTGAATTGAGGCAGGCATTACTTCCAATTGCGATGGTACCTGAGACGGAGAAAAGTTGGTATATGACTTATCGGACTCAGTAAGAGCCTTATCTTTAAACCTCGAACATTGGCCGTCAGAAGGAGTTCCTTCCGTTCTACTATTATCAAAAATATCTTCAACACCATCAATATTAATGTTTTTAGCTCTTAATAAGCCTTTGATTAAACGAACACATTTTTCAGATTTGAGCCAAACAGGTTTTATATGATTTAAACAACTCAAAGTCATCCTAATGCCGTGCTTTGCAACTTCTTTGAAACGATCATCATCGCTAAGAATATTAATAATGTGCATAATAGAAGCCGTGAGAAAAGGATAAGTTAAAAAACTCCATGAAGATTTAAGTCGCCCCATTTTCATCAAACGGTGTATGATATGTGTAACGTTATTTGCGGCCATGGTACATATAGTGAGAGATGAAATTGCTTTTGATTTTGAACCACGAATATAAGGACGATGCAAAAGAATTTGACATGTGTAAAACAAAACATGAGTGAGCAACTGTTTACTGTCAATTATATTATATGGAGCAGCTGAATCGTATTGAAGATTAGATGGAAGATTTTCACGCCATTCGTTTAACTCAGCATCCAATGAAGATAATACAGCATCATCCAAGTTTTGTCTAGACTTTATACTGTAAATATGAGTGACGACACGTCCAAGTATTAACATTATCTTTATCCCTTCGTTCAATTGTTCAACAAATTGCCGTGGCTCTTCAGAGAATATACCAGGAGTAGGGTAGTCAACGTCGCAATCAATCTCACAAATTGTAAGTGGCTATTAAAGAATATAAATAATAAAATTTTTTTTGCATTATTAAATTATCTAAATAAAACACAACAAATAATATAGGTTTATTTATTTTTTATTTATTTATTTTTTTTTTTTTTACATACACGACCTAAAGAAGCACTCGTAAATATGTCATTCAAAACACAAGCCCACCATAAGCGTTTTCTAATTTCTGTTTGTCTCGCACTAAAACTCCATTTTGCCGGATTACGATGTAGTCCCATCTCTTGGGCTGTACGAATGGCCATTCCACTATATAACCAAGTAACTGAATCCACCGCACTTCTATGGTACGCAGCTAATAATAGAAGTGCTTGAATGATCGTTATTGATACATTATCGAATTCATTTTTAAGCAATTCTCTTGCACGATCGAAATATTCCCTGCCTTTTATATTATATAGAATGTAATAAAATATGTATCAACACATAAGTTGACAATCTAAAAAAGACAAAAGTTCAAACATACCAATAGTAGTTGGATCACTGGGATCCTTATGGACATCTGGAATGTCAAGTGTCCGGGAAGCGATCGCGAACATAGCATAAAGAAGAATAATTGTGGTAAAATTGTTCTCCAAGTTATTATATTTTTCCAAAAAATCCAACTTGTCAATGAAAAGATGGTTAGGATGAACATATGTCCAGAAAACATCTAATAGTTGATTGCATAATTCTTTCGAAGGAAGTTCCGATATCGCCTTTTGAGTAGCGTATTTTACAGAAGAAAATCGGATATTATAATTAGGAATATGCAGAAATTCAGCATCAGAAGTTACTCTAAAAACTTTTATATAAGAGAAATATCCAGAACTATAACCGATATATCTTGTATGACCTTCATCGTCAATTGTAAGTTGACCTAAACTATCAACTAAATCACAAGTAGGGTCATCACTCGATAAAATACTTTCAGTATCGCAGTCTTGATCACGAAGAGATTTATTAGGTTTCACATGATTTGCAGATGTTTTTGAATTTGATAGTGGCAAAGTACGAGAAATCGAAAAATCATAAGGTTTTTTTGAGGAAAGACCTTTAACAGCAAAACTTTGAGATGATCGAAAGTTACTTTCATTCACGTTGATCCACTCAAGATTTGAATTAATTGTATTTTCGGACAAATCACCGGATTGAACCAAATTTCCAAGGACAGATTCCATTCTTTGGAGTCTTGTTTCTAATGCTTCTATATAACCCTTTGGAGGACCACGCTTTTTTGGAGCATCAATAAAAGAGCTATTAAAGAAATAAAATCAGATCAAAGTGATAGAATAATTAGAAAGATAAAAAAGAATATAGCGATAGTAATACCATTCATAACCGTAAGTCCTACAATTAGAACAAGATGGAGGATCGGAACCGGCCTGAACACCATCACATCGAACTTTTTTTACTGCCTAGATGAAT